TTATATGCTTTTGAACCAGACAGATTAAGTCAGGTTAAATTATTAAACATAAGTACAATTTTTTTCTACATTAAAAAGTTACTTAATATCACAAAAATTTAAATTTTAACTTTAACCTCAATCAAAATTAAGCTAATAAATATCAACTCAACGAGGTGTTTCTTTTTCTATACAATATACAACGTGACATGACACAAATGCTTATTAATTCACAATTGACCCAAAATCATTAGAAAAATAAAACAATTGACTCCCCCAATTAGAAGAGTCAAATCTAAAACACCCCCCTTATATTGTTCAAATTACCATAAAGGACCTACAGAACCCGACACATCCAACCCAAGTTGAATCCAAAGGAATTTATTAATCCTCACAATCTACAACAACGAAATTTTTCTGCTTACAACTCCACAAACCCTTATTAAGCCATACATATCTAAAGACCTACTGGCACTGGGAAGTTTGTGAATCATTAGATGCTAATCTGGCTCCTAATAAGTTTTCTCTTCTGATACATGTAGCTTGATAAGGGTTAAAGATTCAAGGAACACATTACTCATCTGGGTTTTTATGATTTCATAATCATGAAAACAATGAAATAATTTAAGAACATACAAACAAATAATATACACAGATAGCCTCCAACAGTAACAGAAATTTTAGAATTGAGCTTCATATTTCCTCAAAAGAGTCCATTTGTCTTGTATTTGTACCTTCACATTTTCATCTTTTACAAAAAGAGAGGAAAGAAATATGAACCCCCGAAATTCTCCATCCCAGAACAGATTTAAGAAATTGTTGGCCCATGATGGGAGGGAAAAAATGGACAAGAATAATATAACTCACCTGGAAGGGAGCAACAAACTAACAATTGCTGGCCTCCAGCCTCACTCAAAGTCAACCTAAACTGATCCTCCTGGTTGCCCTCCTACTCAAGAAGAATCATTGGGATAGATTCAAGCCCCAATAACATGACAATTTTGACTTTTCACGCTATATAGGCAACCAAGACGGAGTGAGGGGGTCAAGATGAAAACAATTGATCCAAAGAATTTAGTAAAAAATCCCTCTCAAAGTGTTGTGTAATTTGAGAAAAGCTTCAACAGTTTATCTAGAGCCCCTGGGTGGAACTTCCGTGCAAATAAGTAACATGGCCGTTTGATACCATTCCATAAACAAGCTTGTACCTGCTCTTCCCGCTATATAAGCCCAAGGAAAGAAAACAATGATTCAGAATCAACTAAGTTTTCAGACTTCTGGCCTTCTGAATCAAAACAGAAGAAATGCCTACCTTGTCATCACTTGTGACATGTTTACTTTCGTCAATTGACTGCAAAAAAAATATAACACATTAAATGTCAGAATCCAAAATACATCATTGTCTAACCCTAGTTTTTATTTAGGTAAAAAATTACATCTGGTCTCACAGTCACTCCAAGGAACCTATATCTTGTAGCTATAGGCAACTGAGGAAAGTTATGATGAACACATTTATCATACTATCCGTGGGTTCAAGGATCTTTTTCTTTTTATTAGCAAATTGGTTAGTATACTACATCCATCAAAAATAAATAAATAAATAAATAAAAGAGAGAGAAAGTTAGTGTACAACAATACTTATAAATTGCAAACATTGCAATCTCTAACCTTAACCCCAAAACAAGGTTTTGAAGTTAGTGGGCACCAACTTGGATAAGCTCTTGCAATAAATTGATTGGTGTCATAGAATAAAGTGACATCTACCTGCAGCCATTTGTGATAGAAAATAATTATAAGATGAAGCATAGTACCGTAATATTCTTCAGGAGCTCAAGGGTGATATCCGGAGCCTTGTACAACTTTGGATGCCACTTTCTCTCAGACCAATCAACATGTGTTACAGACCAATTTGCAATACCAACAGGATCAAGCATCTGAAAAAGCACGAAGGAGAACATACCAACAGTCACTAAAATGGTTGTCTGAGAAAAGAGTTGTCTAAATAAAAAGGTTGAAGATGTGATTCATACATGGAAGAAGGTTGGCAAGTAATGTTCATCAGGAATGCAATTTTTTCCCTCCAAACCCGGCTGTAATAATCATTAACCAAAAACATTAACGCCAATGAATCAGCAGACAGCAACATCAACTTCATTAACAGTAATTATATTTCAAACACCTATGCATGCAAAAATTTAAAACCACCAAATCATGTCAAATACAGAAAAATAGCTATTGAGTATAAAAATACCATGAACAGCTAAAGAAACTAGCAAGCCAAACCTAACTCTTAATCTAACAGAACGGAAATTGTTTTGATCCCATGGATCCTTCATTTTAGTTAGCTGGCCAAATAGAAGCAATGAGTTGGAGAGAAGGTGGGGAGAGAAAACGAAAGCCAAAAACATAGTTTAACCACTACAGATCCATACCTATTTATATCTGAAACAAAACTCAGACAATTATGCATGTAGTCCAGACAGAAATTTCAACTTACCTTGCAATAATCTCGAAACTTCGAGTAGTACAAACTGTCAGCCACAACTATCACAGCATGCTGGCGTATCATTGAGAACCACTGCACAAAAGTTGTACTCATTACAACTTGCTATAATAAACAGGAGATGTCTTACCAGACTGAGCTGGAAAGAAATGTGATTAAAAAAAAAAAAATTAGATATAGCAAGCAAAATTATCATCAGGGGCTACAACAAATACATCACCGATCAATTTAGTATAGACTATAGACAACTCTAAAAGACCACATGTTAAAACTAAAATAACCAATGCAATGCTGGTGCACAAGTTCAATATTGACAGTAACGATAGAAAGCAAATTTAAACATCCATTGAAAAAAGAATGTCCAAATTGCTGAACAAGTGAATAACTTGTCATGTAAAAGGGAGAGGACTACAATGAAGAGTATTTCAAGGCTGCGATAATCAAAAAATTATTTTTCCTCAAAAATTTTCTCCATAAGTCAATAACCAAACTATTAGTACCTGTGCACCTTTCCTAAAGTCTTTCTTTTGAACTTCAGGTAACATGTGGTCTGAATACCTGCCATTTCCATGTGGTCCAGGATCCTGAAAGCTGAAAAGCGAAACGTATAACTATAAATAAGATAAAAAATAATGAAAATAAATAAATAAATAAAATTTGAGAACCCCATTCCAGGAGTCTTTCCAGGCAAACAAAATTTTAAAATTAAGCAAATAATAAAATAGAGCTCCTCGAACAAAAAAGATACACATGGAATCCTAACAAATGATTAGATACCACAATCCACATGCTGATAAAAAAAAAAAAAAACAAAAAAAAGATGCCACAATCCACATACCAGTCAATGAAGCTGATATTTGCATACATCAGAGAGTTATAGACATACTCAAAAGTATGCAATGGTACACAACTGCAAAGCAAGAAAGAATGCTTCAAAAATAAATTGTGAAAGTTACATTATTCAAGCCTTTGACCTAGGGTATGGACAGAAAAATATCAATTTACCTATCAGAAAGTAGCACAAAATGTTGATTATCAGGATCCTTAAGAGCATTTGCCAGTAAACGTCTCTCTGCATCAATCATTGAAATTTTTCCCCATACAATCTGCATTTATAAATTGACCAGCCATCCAGATTAAGTTGGTCATAAGAATAGTATCTCATCAAGTAATAGTAAAAAAAATCAACAACAACAGAAACAGTGAAATTGATTTAATTGGAAATACCAATACATAACAACAAATTTGGCTATGAAACAGTAAAAAGAATACAGAGACAATAGAAATCATAGCTGTAGATACTTAGTGACCTGAAGATTGTATATTCAGGTTACTTGAATATCTATGAATGTATTGAGGATACAAATTCCATATGTAAATAATAAAAGAGTGACTTGTCTAAAATCCTTGCTCTCTCATTTAAACAATTAAACTGAACTGGATTGACAATACCATTTTCCATTCTTCTCAAAATCTTGAAATGATAGAAAAGCAATACGGTAATTCCACTTGCAACTTTTCTTTTGAAAAAATGATTGACACTGGCAGCTTGGTTCATTAAAATAATAATAAAATAATAATAATAATAATCATTTCAGAATCTTTCCACATTGAAATAACTAGGGTTGCACCAACATCCATTCTGTGACTTAAATTACAGCAGGTTAAGTCTCAACTATAGTCATTCAAGATTTACTTAAATCTGCCCTTGAAAGAAAACTGCATAGAAAAAAAAAAATCAAATCTTCATTTTATGCCGCATAAACTGTACAACTATGTTATCCAAGGAGGGACACCGTATTGGATATCAGATAATCAGGCGTTGGCAATCAAGATATGAAGGAACAGCCTCAAGTGTAGAAGATCACTCAATAAACATCAAATCATGAAAAAGTGGGGAAAAAGAAAAAAGAAGAAATTTCCAAACCTCATCACTGCGTATATCCCGGTTAAGGAAGTAACGGCTAACATGTACTGGCCTTTCCTTTGATGCGTGAACATAAACAGAGAATTTTCCTTCATGACCCTGCCAGAAAAGGCAAGAAAACTTAAGTTGGAGATATGGCACAATGTAAATTCACAATTAAACATGGAATAACTAACATAAGTAAAGGAAAAACATACGTTGAAGAACTTATCCCAAAGCTTCTCAAAAGGCAAAGACCCAGGAGACAAGAACATGAATGCTATTTTGGAATTTTTGGACTTGGTAGGAGATGTTTTCAAAATTTCCCTAATCACAACACGAGATGCAATCTCTTCATCGGTATATGCTCTAGCAGGAGCAGGAGGAAGCCAATCAGAAAGAACATTGCAACCCCTAGAAGAAAATACATAGCAGGGAGCACTGCCTCTTGGGGGATAGATGTAAGCACAAACTAGAAAAAGGCTGACTATTGAAACCAAGAAAATAATCCATATAGGCCTCTTCAAAGAAGGGCGGTGGCGAGGCCCAGGCAAGATCTGCATATCACCAATGCTGCCCAGATGCCACGCCTGACCTGCCTTCATCTAGTATAAGTGCATGAGAGCTTTATCTCCACGTGGTCCTCTTATTTCTTAGACTTTCTGTCCACCACCACACCTCAAACAATGGACCGGTATCCAACTGATAACTTACAGATATCTGAGAATTTAGAACACAAAGAATCTGATTAGCAAACATAACAGGCATCACAAATGCAATTAAAACCCAGTTGTCTACTCTTTCTGTTTGAAAAATATAGTCAGCATTTCTCATATGTGATGTCCCAGAACTTGCCCACAGTCAAAATACCAAATTGAGAGAGTTGCTTTCTTCCAAGGACAGCCTTATGTTTTAAGCATTGATTACAAAACATAAACAAAGAAAATTTATGGAAGGGACTTGTATTGAAATACTAGTCTATAAATCCACATTTAGCGCTATTTAGAAAATGTGCTTGCTAGGCCAATAAATTATGAAGATTTGGAAACAACAGCAATATTGTGAAAAGAGATTTTAAAAATGTGAATTGGTGATAAAAAGATAAAAGCATTAACATAAAATTCCACAGCAAGAAATTGAAACACCCAAATCCCCCAAAGGCACAAAAACAAGAAATATATATATATATATATATATATATAATCAAAATTCAAAAGGGAGGAAAAAAAATGAAAAACAGAGGATAATGAGAGGAGGAGATCAGATTACTCATTCAAGAGTCATGCAAATGAGCTAAAATACCTTATCCCCTTCTTCTCCCTAGCACACAACAGCTCAAAACCTAAACTCCGAATGAAACATACCAAATAAGTAACTTCAACACGCAAACCCCTTGATTCAATGCAAAGTCCGTGGATTTTCCCAACTATTAAAAGCAAACCTATGTTCTTGAACAATTCCACCGGAATCTAGACGTGTGGTAAAAGTCAAACAATCAATGCCCAACTGCCCAAGCGAACCAAAAAAACAAAGACTCATTCAAAATCCACGTCCAAAGACACTCAATCGTGCACTAGTCGAACTCCCAAAAAATTAAAATGCCTTTTCGACTTTCTTATTAATTCTAAAGAATTAGACAAAAGTAAAATTGAAAAAAAAAAAAAAAATTGCTTTCTCATTGTTGATTAACTCATCCGAACCCGGCGCATTCGTTTAAACCCATAAGAATCTGAATCGAAAAACAAGACGAAGAACGATCAAGATTTTCCGTTACTAACGAAATCAACAGCATCAAAAGGAAAGATTGATACCGAAACTCATGTCGTTAAGTTGGATATCAGGAGAAAAAGTGAGAAGAAAAGAAATGAAAATGCGAAGCAAACAAAATACCTGGGAGAAGGAGCTGGAGAGTAGAGTAGTGAAGAGATATACGAATCAGGATTCAAGATCTAGGGCTCGCCAAACTAGAAAAAGAGAAAGAGAGACGAGAGGGGAATCGAGTTGATCGTGAATAATATAATATATAAATCTTGACGATGAATCCGCAGAGGTGGTACTTGTATGCTTTGCGGATTCTTATTTAGTAAGGATTCTCTCTTTCTTACCAGGAAGAAGAAGAAAACAAATTCCCAGGCAGTAGTGGAATTTCACCATCTGCCAAACAGACAGACAATAAAAAGTACAGC